TGAGAAATCCTGTTTTGTAGAACACCCCCCTGGTCAAATACTGAGAAAGAATTGTTAAAAACAATGAGAGCATAGCAATCTTTGCTAACTGATATGAGGGTGGAAACTTCAGTATACTGAGTTCTATGTAGTTATTAATTTGTGTATATATCTTTTGCTGTATGTCTTTTCCTCTTGTGTTGGTATGCCACTGACCATCACTGCTGTCGTCGCTGGTGTACTTTGATGTCTAGCATCTGATTGTTGACTCTGTACTATGTCTGTTGTGGGGAGCTCTGTGGGCTTTTTGAACATAGTTCTTGTGTTCTTTGCGTTTGCAAATAAAATAAAATATTCATCACAAAAAAAGTGACTAGGTCTAGTGGCTTAGACAGGAATGAGGCAGAAATACTTTTACCACAAAGGATTAGTGGTTGTATGAGCCCATAATTTATATTCATATTAAATATTAGTCAGTAAAAAGAGACCCTGGCTACAGAAAAAAGACCTGTGGCTGTAGCCCAATAGTCAGACCCTAAACACACACCTGGGCAACTCCAGTTCTGGAGAGGCAGAGATGGCTGCTGTCAAAATGCTTGTACAAATCAGCCTACTTAGCACCTGGTAGTGCAATTCAAGTCCTGTGACCCCCACCCCCTCACTTTTAATCCCTGGGATATCTTGTGTATTTAAAAGACATTTGTAGTGATGTTGTGGACTTGCTAGCTTCTAGTTTTGCACGAGAGTATTCTCTAAAACTAGGCGAGCAAGTGGCCAGCCCCCTCTGTTGGCCAAAACAAGCACAACATGAGGTGTATGCTTGTTTACTCTGCTGCCAGGTCTTTCTTGGGACTATCGAGTATGTTTTTTATTCACAGTTAAAACGGACACATATCTGGAACAGGTCCAGCTAGGGAAAGGCCCCCAAAACGGGGATGTCTGGTCACCCTAACTAAAGACAGCTCAAAATGAATGTGAGTGAAAAAAGAGCTTCTTTCAAATGGTCCTCTCATGCTTAAGCAACTCACGTCTTGTGTTGGAAGGCCTGATCTGTTGTCATCTTAATGAAAGGGCACTCCATGGTAGAAGGCCCAGGAGGACCCCACTGCTGGCATAGGAAGCCAAAATCCTGGGAGAATCTGGGATAATGTTTTGTGCACATATGAGACCAAAATAGATCTTTTTCGTAAAGAACATTATTATTCTGTTTACCAAAAAAAAAAAATGTGTATGCATTAGTTGAACGTATGCATTACATCTTTAAATCCGAACACTACTAAATAGTATTGAAGTGCAACGTAGGGCCCAGGGTCAGTAAGTTGGGTCTTTGTCAGAGGTCATGGGTCTTTCAGCAGGACAGTCACCCAAATCACACACCAAAAAGCACCCAGAAATGGTTTGATAGGAAGCACTGAACTGTTTTGAAGTGGCCCATGGGAAGTGCACAGAGGTGGGTAGTAACTAGATTTACTCAAGTACATCTACTGCATTAAAATATCTTGATGGATTAGTGTTCTTCTGGTTATTTTCAAAGCCTATTAATTTTACTTGAACTCATGTATAGTAGCGAGTAAAGGAATCTACTTTTTACTCAGTTACATGTTAATTACATTTAGTTACTAGTTACCCTTTTGTGTTAAATTTCATGTTGTGTTGGTGACAACTGTACTGCTTTGTGATTGGTCTCATCTCTGACTTGGAAGCTTTAGCAGTTCTTTTTAGACCAAAAGAATCCCAAAAAGAGAAGAATAGTGCTGTACAATCTTTAGTTCCTATGATGATAAATGCTGGATTTAGTATGTTTTTTGACCTGATATTGTTGTGCTTTTTTCTATATGAGTTGTTTTGGGAAGGTACTTTTACTTTTAACCGTGTCATTATTTGACCCCCTCCTCTTTTTTCCTGAATGGATATATTAAGTTCTGAGTGGATAAAGGCTAGAATTGTGGAAAGCTTACAATTTAAGCTGTTTTTGGAGTGAATCAGATTTTTTCATAGTAATGTGTGAGTAATTTGCAAGAAAAACTGCAAGGCAGCCAATATTTCTGGTCATGACTGTACATAACGCAGCAATCATTGATGATTTTATGCAATGTATGTGACTGCAGAACATACCATATACCAGTAATAATGTGTGTTGCTGTTGCCAAGTACACGCCAGGCTCTTGCTCTGAGTAGCGCATTATCCCCAGCCACTTTGGCGTCCAAAAAAGCATCGTCAAGAAATTTGTTTTGCAGTGGACTGGTACAGTTGCCAATTACAAAACGTATAAAGAAGAAGCTTTGTAGCTGGTCTGGAACTTCCCATATACCTCAGATTATGGGATGGATTAATGGAACACATTCCAGTCCTGCCCTGCACAAATGTGTAGAGAGATTTTGGAAAAGGAAAAGGTCGGCCCTCCTATGTGCTTCAAAGAGTTGCTGATGAAAAAGACTGGTAAGTCAATTTTACAGTATAACATTTTATATTATACATTTGTATTTCATAATTGTTGCAATTACAGAAAACCTATACATAAATTAGAACCTGTGTTGAGCTATATACTAAGCAAGTTAGTAACTTTACTAGATGTATGTATATGTATATTGAAAAAGATTCATTTTTTTGTTATGGTTATGACCATACAATACAGATGTCAATCAATTTTGTTATCCATCTTTACCATCTTTTCTAGCTGCAAAAATGCCTGGGAGCGCACATGATGCCATTGTGCTTCATAGACCTGAGCTCTTTCAGAAGGCTCACTTCCTGCTCAAGGTAATGTGACATGTATATATACAGTGTTCGTAAAGCCTGTTCATAGTTATGGTAATAATATCCCTTCTTATTTTATAGGGGGTGAAAAACATTGAGAGAGAAGAAGTTCGGCTCCTGATCAGGGTGATCCTGCTTACCCGTTACTTGCCTGGTTAATCAAGGGTTACACAACTCCCCTAACCTTCTACCAGAGCAGGAATCATTCAGTTTTTACTTTAGCTCACTCAGGGTAGGGGTACAGATGGCAGGTTTTAGCAAGTTAAAGTGGCAGGGTACTGCTAAAGAGACATGACTTTCACTTCTCATTCGCACCTATGATGATTGCCACATGCTGTGCTTTGCACAGTTTTTGTGAGAAGCAGAAAGATAGCATCAGTACAAACTGGTTGGAAAGGTTTAATCAAAGTATTGAAATACTTCATCAGCTCATTTAACCAATTCATACATTTACCAGCACCAGTGGCACCAATGCAAGGGAGGTACTGACCAAGTATTTAGCCAATAAGTTTCTTAGTCTGCGAAACGACACCATCGATCATATGTTTCTGGAAAATGAAGCAAGCACCGATGCAGTTCTTCAGACTAAAGGGCGTTGCTTTCTTGACAGATGCTCTGGATCTTAAGTATCAAAGGTAACATCACTACATTTTAACTCTGGGGGTGTGTTTTATTTGGGAGATTTATCAGTGCACTTCCTAACTCATGGAACTTCGTCTTTTGTGTTAGGTTTTGTTCGTTTCTTTGGTGCTGCCCACAGTTCGATTCACCCACACAGTGTTTTTATTGTGGTTGGATTTAATAAAAAGGCTTCAAAAGCTGTATTTGTTTGATGCTTTTATACCATCATCACCAGTTCAGTGTTACTGAACTGCTAATGCTACTGAACCCACAGTGCCCTGCACAAACTGTGTGGTCATCTTCTTTTATTAGAGGGCAAAAAAGCACGACTTGGTGAGACATTCAGGGTAGTGTTGTACACAATAACACTACAGGTGAGTTTGAGTCAAGACCAAAACTAGATTAAGAAATTGTCAAAACATAAAACTGTATAGAAGAAAGAGGGAAAACTTTAATTTGTTTGTGTTTCACTGTAAATCCATTAATGTTTATTATACATGATTATATATTAATAAATAATATTATTTTACAATACATACTGTAAAACATAAAGTTCATTAATATATAGCCTAAAATATTTTACAATTATAATGATATTATACTGTTAGTCCAACTTTGCATTGTAGCCTTTGGAAACACATGACTATGAGGTTATTCTCTGTCACTTGTTCTCTAAGACTTATTCAGAATCACCATCTAAAGTCAATTGAATGTAAATCAAACAACATGCATTCATTTTTATTATTACATTAAAACATTACAATCTGCCCAGTAAGGCTATCATGGAAAGGATCAGTTAGAGTCTTCATTTGCAGCAATAAGGGGTTTTATTCAAATAATAACCTGGTGGCTACTAGCAAGGTGGTCTTCTCCAAAAGGGGCTGGTAGAAAAAATGTAGGGAAAAGTGTCCCATATTTTTTCTTCAAGTATGAAATTGAACTACATGTATGCACTCGTTTAAGCACATCTTAGCCAATGCTCATTAGCAGGTTTTCTGTCACCACAAACCAATGCAACCACTACTACTGATTACTATTATTATTATTGTTATTACTATTATTATTATTATTATTATTATTATTATTGTAGAATAAATACAACATGTAAATCATATTAGTGTTTACTTGATTTCTACACTTACATTTAACAGCAGAAATGCATGGGAATCTTAAGCCGCTTTTCCACTGTATGTTACCAGATCGACTTGACTGTACTTGTCTTTTTTTGGTTTTCCATTACACAAATCTGGAACCTGGTATCTGGTACTGGGTAATATTTTGGTACCACCTCTGAAAAGGTTCCAAGTGAGCCCAGCTGATACCAAAAGGTGACATAAAAAAGCCACAGACTACTTTTTGGTCAGAGAGAATTGCTAAACAAATATAATAGCTAATGTTAGCTACCAGGTTAGCCTCTTGCATCGCCTTTGAACAGTTTTATTCTGTTGAAAGAATTTCTTGAAATCCACTTCGATCCACTGAGGTTTATGCGCGTATATTGGCTTTTATTTTTATTTATTTCATTTTTTTCTGCTCCTTTTGAGGGATGTACTGGGTGGTCCTGCTTTCCTGAAGTCTCACTCCACACTCGAGCTCAGTAGGTGGCAGTAATGCACTATGTGTTGGCCTGACATCCACCATTCACACAGAAGAAGAAGTAGCTGGCGTTTGAGAGCTGTCCGATAAACACAGCTGCTCTCTGCTCCTCCGTGTGTCTTTGTGGGGAAGCCTTTTAGTGTTATCTCCTCTGTAAGTACATGTACATCTGTTTTTCTCTGAAAACTACATTGTTACACCTGCATCTGTTGGAATTGCATTTACTGAATGTGTGTTTTAAATGACTGACTGGGTTGTTATGCGAACATGCTAATGCTAACATGCTTATTTACTAATAGTCTTCTGTATACAGGCCGTACTTTACTTAATTCATTGTATATTTACACTCAGAGAGAGATTTATGTTACTTTAAATCGGTCTGGTGTTGGTTCTGGATTCTTATTTTCTGGGTTCCTGTTTTCATAATAGGATTTTAATAGGATGGCTTCGTCTTGTGGGAACAGTACTGTATAGATAGATAGGTTAGGTAGATAGAGTTACAGCCGTATGCAGATAGGAAAAACAGCTTGATAGAGAGATGGATAGACAGATACAGATAAGCATAAATAGGCAAATACAGACATAGACGAGATATAAAATGAAAGATATTTTCAAATATGTAAAATCTGATTTACTAATTGAACAATAATTAAACTAATTTGTAAATTTGAGTTGATTTAAAAACTAATTTAAATCTCAACACTGTATTTACATGAGATTTATCTAATATCTATAGTAGAAAAAAAATAGATGCACTTACTGCTGCATGAACAGCAATGTTACAAGCATAAATAGTGCAGCGCTTCAACAGACATGAATGTGGCTTCATAATGACTCCTTGAAAAAGTCCAGTTGTTAGCATTAAAATCTGTATCCATTAAATGCAACCAGATGATAAACTGTCAGTTAAACGTCACTGTTTATTTCTATCAGACACATTATGACTTCTTTACACATTATATTCTCTTTATAACTGGATATGTTCTGCCCTCACCAGTACACTGGACAGGTGACAGAAAGCTAACCAGCTAGCAGGCTAATGCTACAACAACAAAAAAAAGACCTCAAATTCAAGCCTTTTAAAATAGAGCATTATTTAAAAACTGAGACATACAAAGTAAGGAATGTTGCTCACATTTCTGTTACAAATTTAAAACAAGCATGAAAATCCCAAATAGCACTAAGCTAACCCTGCTAGCTTGACGCCAACACAGCTACCAGGGGTGAAAATACGAGGAGCATTATCGAAATGCTGATTTGTTTGGCTGATGTTTGTAGCTAATCGATCTGTGAATAGAAGCCTGAACCTGTGTGAGAAAAACGCTTTAGTCAGAGGATCCTATTTATTACCTACACAGATTATTCACATTAATGAAGTCATGACATTAGAACTTTTTGTGTTTACACTGAGAATAAGGAACAAGCAGAGAAGCATAAAGCAATGGCGTTGTGCCCTCTAAAATCCACTAGTCATGTTTTTTTTTGTTTTTTTGTTTTTTTGTTTCTCTCTTTCACAGCTATCAGATCTTTAAGTGTTGTGGCACCTAAACTCACAAACTGTCACAGAGCATCCGTAGCATCTCTTTCATCTCAGCCAATCCCAGTTACAGACTCATCTGTTCTCTCCATTCTATCCATCTCATTCTTCTAAAACTTTATTATTATTATTATTATTATTATTATTACTATTAGTAGTAGTAGTAGTAGAAGCAGTAGTATACCAAGGGTTACGAAGCAGGAGAAAAGATATTTGCATGTAAGTAATTCATGTCTGTGATAATGCCTTGCAAACCCAGCAGCTGATGCAGCCTTTTTTTCCCCTTGGCTACTGTAACCCCTAATCAATTTGTGCTTGTAAGTTTTGTTGCATTTTACAATGAATTTTATATTTGTTCTTTTTCTTTTCCTCCTGCAGAAAGAAATGACTTCCTACTGCAGGTCTTCTCCAGCTCCTATCGTCCACTTCAACAGGAGATGGTAGAGGAAAACATCTGAGAATCTAAAACCTTTGTGAGCAGCCAGAAGCAGCTCTGGTACTCGGCAAACACCACCTGATACTCTCCAGACTAACACATCTTACAGAAAAATGCAGAAAAATACCTGCAAAGAGAGAAATCACCAGTGTGAAGAGACTTTTTTTGACAGATATAACCTCCAAAGACACCAGCGCATTTACACAGAGAAACCGCATCATTGCTCAAAGTGTGAAAAGAGTTTTAAACGAAAAACTCATCTCCAAGTGCACGAGCTCATTCACACAGGAGAGAAACCATATCAATGCTTAGAGTGTGGGAGGAGCTTTAATCGAAAGAGTAATCTCCAAACACACCAGCGCATTCACACAGGAGAGAAACCGTATCAGTGCTCCGAATGTGGGAAGAGTTTTAACCGAAAGAGTAATCTCCAACTACACCAACACATTCACACAAGAGAGAAGCCATATCGCTGTTCAGAGTGTGGGAAATGCTTTGCTGCACAGAGTAATCTACTCGCGCACCGACGCATTCACACAGGAAAAAAGCCGCATCACTGCACAGACTGTGGGATGAGCTTTAATCAGAAGACTCATCTCCGATCACACCAACGCATTCACACAGGAGAGAAGCCGTATCAGTGCTCTGAGTGTGGGAAATGCTTTACTGCACAGACTAATCTCCAAGTGCATGGACGCATTCACACTGGAGAGAAGCCGTATCAATGTTTAGACTGTGGGAAGAGTTTTACTGTACGGAGTAATCTCCAAGTACACCAGCGCATTCACACAGGAGAGAGACCGTATTATTGCACAGAGTGTGGAATGAATTTCACTCTGCAGAACAGTCTACAAATACACCAGCGCATTCACACAGGAGAGAGGCCGTACCACTGCTCAGACTGCGGGAAGAGTTTTTCGCAGAGTGGTCCCCTCAAAACACACAAGTGCCTTCGGACAGGAAAGAAAGCTGGACAGGGGTAGACGGACTCAGACATCAAGACTGTACTTCAACCTCCTTAATTCTGCAAGAGCAGATGAACCAGCAAGGTCAAAAATATGTGTAGGATCTACAAACTCTTCAAGGTTACTTTCATTCCTCAGAATTTATAATGGGAAGCACTTGTTAGACACAAAAGCCTACCTGTTTCCCTGGGCTGTTTTTCAAAAATAAAAATATTTCAAAATTATTCCTGTGTGTTGCTAAGTTTTTGTGAAACTCATATTTTTTTAGCTCCCAACCCCAATAGTAAGCCTACAGAACTACGCTAATGTCAGCCAAAGTAGTTTTTAATTTGTTGCTGAGGCGGGGACAATGCAGACTCTAAAGTATTAATAATTAATTGGTTATTTTTTCAGCTAATGACTGCACTCTGCTTGTACAAATACACAGTTTATCATTTACAAGATTATGTAGGTATGTGAGTTACACAAATACTAGTAACACAAAGATTTTTATGTATAGGTTTAATTAATGAGTATGTGCTATCAATGTAAAGCCACAAGGGTCAGCTACAGGATAGTAACGTTTAATGGCATGTATTAATGTGCATTAAACATATTTTAAGGAATAAAAATCATTATCAAAACTCATGGTAATATTTTCTATGATTTCTAAGCATGTTTTTGATTTTATTATTTTTCAAGGATTATTCAGTACTGGATTTTTGCACATTTGTATGTGGCATTTGTTGTTCACCATTTCAACAATACGGCCGGAGTAACAGTGATGTGGAAAGAATTGGCAGTTCAAGAAATGTTCTCAGACTTGTATTTAAACTACACTATGTGCTGTTACATCCACTGTAAACGAATAATGTTAGTAATACATAAATACCTGTACTCACCACTGAGCAACCGTATGAACATTGTCCACAGCTATTCCAAAGGCCACTGAAATAAGTGTTTGAAAAACGAACTTGCTCCTCAACTATTATCACTAATGAACATGAGCCAAAACCATCAATTATTTTGTTTTACACCTAAAGTTGTAAACAGCTGGCTGGGCTTGGCAAACTTTTACCACATCCTATTGGCCAACAACCTAAGACACATCTTTTCTTCTGGTACACTATATAGACAAAAGTCTCGGGACACACCTCTTAATCAATTCAAATGTTTCATTCAGTCTCATTGCCACAGGTGTATGTCAAGCACCAAATAATGGGTTGCTCTAAAGAGCTCACTGAATGTGAGTGTGGTACTGTAATAGGATGCTGCTGTTGCAACTAGTCAGTTTATGAAATTTCTTCCCTCCTAGTTTTTCTACTAACAACTTTGAATGGTATCCTTGAAGAGTGGAAGCGTTTAAGAACCACAGCAACTCACGAAGTGTCAGACCACGTAAAGTTACAGAGTGGGGTTGCTGAGTTCCAAACCTCCTCTGACATTAACATCAGCATAAAAACTGCGCTGGGAGCTTCATGGCATGGGATTCCATGGCTGAGCAGCTGCATGCAAGCCTTACATCACCAAGCACAATGGCAGGCGTCGGATGGAGTGGTGTAAAGCACACAGCCACTGGACTCTGGAGCAGTGGAAACAGATTCTGTGGAGTGACGAATCGCACCTCTCTATCTGGCAGTCTGATGGATGAGGCTGGGTTTGGCGAATGCCAGGAGAATATTATACTGTAATGTTTGGTGGAAGAGGGATAATGCTATGGGGTTGTTTTTCAGGGGTTGCCCCGAATTTCAGTGAAGGGAAATCTTCATGCTTTATCATTTTGGACAATTGTATGCTTCCAACCTTGTGGGAACAGTTTGGGAAAGATCCTTTTGCTGTAATGCACAAAGCAAGCTCCGTACAGGCATGGCTGGGTGAGATTGGTGTAGAGAAACTTGACTGACTCACACAGAGCCCTGACCTCAACCCCATCGAACACCTTTGGGACGAACTAGAACGGAGATTTTGAACCAGGCCCTTTAGTCCAACTTCAGTGTCTGATCTCACAAATCCTTGTCTGGATGAATGGGCAAAAATCCCCACAGACACTCTCCAGAATCTTGTAGAAAGCTTCCCTGAAGAGTGGAAGCTGTTATAGCTGCAAAGGTGGGACCAACTCCATATTAATGCCTATGGATTTAGAATGGGATGTTATAAATCTTGCATCAAAACACCACAGGACCAGCAAGTTTCTATCCAAGTGTTGATAATCATGTGCATATGTGAATATAAAGTAATGCTTTATATTTTTTGTAGACCAGATAGAGATGAAGTTCTACAACCCAGATCTAGTAAATGATTTGGAAATGTGGCACTGTTTTGAGAAGTGATTAATATAGATATGCGCACTAGGAGCCTAAATACTGTCAACAGACTTTTACTTCCATTATGAGGCAACATCTGCCAATAAAATTGCAGAGATGTGTATCTAGACGGGACTAAAATTATTAGAGCACCACTGAATCCAAAACTAAGAAAACTGCCCTTAAAGATTCTACTGCATTCCATCAAGGTTGTGTTTAATCAGCATGCAGCAGGATACAATATAAGAAACTTTAAACAATCTGCTATTGTATTTATGAACCACGTTTCCATGGAAACATTTTGCCCCATCAGTTTCACTGTTACTCCTAGAAATCATTTTCAAACTCATAATAAATAACAAGACTGGGCTGTTATCCCAACCTGCTGCTATTTCCTTTCTTGCACACACTGCCATTATTCATTCTTTCATTTTCTTTCACTTTCGTATTGTGTACTGTTATCTGTGTTTGTTTACATTGGAAACAGGTTACCATAACATGGTTGAAGCCATTCAAATATCTGCAGACATTTCTGCTGGTTTAGAAGGTTTTCTAGGCTGTTGTTAGGTGTGTCAGCGAATCAAGCACGTAAAAGAATCAAGGTACCAAAAACAGGTGTTTTTCTAGTTGTTTATTGTTCTGACATCTTCACTGTATTGGCTGTGTGTCTGTGTGTGCTATTGGTATTGTCGGGACTAAGTGCGATTCTCAGAGCCCCAACATATGGATAATTAAACACTAATCTGTTCTATAACTGTGTTTCAGTTCTTTAATAAATCTGATTGCTTGTTCTCGTCATAAACGCAAAATGAAAGAAAGTTCAGTCAAAAAATAAAATAAAGTTGAATAAATGATTTCAGCCGTTGAGTTCTTTTGGAAGGAATGAAAAGGCCCTCTTCTTTATTAAGCTTCAGGTGGCAAGATGGCTTCCGGACAACCAAATGCAAAGTACATTACAGAAACATCCTTTTTTATATCTTGTTTTCCCATATCATTTTGATTCCCATTATTTCCTGATTCTACACTTCAGTTGGAAACCCTTATTTCCAACCGCACCTGACCTTGATTTTTTAAAAACTTTCCATGCTTGGCTATACCAAGCTGCCCCCATCCTTTCAAGGCTATTAATTAGCTCTTGTTTAAAATTTTGTTTAAAATTGCCATTTTACCCACCATTTTTCTTCCTTCTTTTGTCTATTGCAGAACTGGGATATAATACCCACCACAGACTGTTCAACACTAATCCTATCAAAGGTTTTCTTGTTTAGAAATACATCCTGAGGTAATTTCTACATTTGTTTTTAGAGTAGATTCAAGGTGTAATGTTTACTGTTAAAAATGACTGACATGGCCTATTCAGACAGGACTAAAATCACTGATTTTACCCCACCTCCCCATGTAAAACCCTACTCACATCTACTTAGCAGTATGTACCTGGTATGTCTGGTCAATTTCTGTATATGATGATAAGAGAATAAGTAGTCGCTGTGTAATTGATACACTTTTTACAGTCCTGTTTCCACAGTATTACAGTGTATGAACCACTATGTAACTGGTAGTATGTGTGGTTAATTTCTGTATATGATAAGGGCAAAAGAATAGATCAGGATTTCCCTTTAGGAAACCATCAAATGCATTCAGAATCAGCCACTGCTCACCTGTTAACCGTTATAATCCTTTGTGTTGAGATGTCAACCTATTAAAAAAGCCAAAACACATTACAAAATCATCAGGAGCCAACAGAAACATTTGGTTTCCATGGGTTTTTTTGATGGTGATGGTGCTCACATTAACGCAACTGATGTATATTTGTTGATGTAATTGGTAGCTAGCGAACATTAGAGATAAAGAGAGCCAAGCGAGCTAACTTTTTTGAAACAGTGACTAAAAAATATGTAATGTTACAACATAAACTCATTCAAAAATGAAGCAACCACATTTGATACATTTGCCTTTCATGTGCATATCATTCTCACTAGCATTAGCCACTTGGTTTTGTTTTAACATGTAACTTAATGTTAAAACTCTACGAAAAAGTTAAATTGTCTTCATAACTTGATTTCAATACATTTTGCCAAATACACACACAAAGACATACACAGATAGCTTTTCTAATTACTATTTTCAGTGGAACTGAATTTTGTTTGTTTGAATTATGTTTGTCTTGTATTTAAAATGCCTTTTTATTACATTCTGTTCACAGGGGAGCACTAACTAAACAAACTTTTTTTTTTCCATTTCCTTTAAGGAAGCACCAGCACAATGGAGCGAGTACAAGTTAGTGATAAGTAACTAAAAAAAGAACATTCGAGTCATAGTAAAATGTAATGGGGGGAAAAATCTGAAAAACTCATACTTTAATCACAATGACCCAATCATTACGACGTAATGATGTCCTGCTCATCTACTCCAGCAGGACCCATATGGGGAAAAAAAAACATATGGACATGTATTTTTATATATTTAAAATACATTTCAAATACATTGCAGTCCATGCCAAAATAGATTCTAAGCAATAAACTGTATATCAGAATATTTTGCCAGCTCAATCAAATATATTTAAAAATACATTTATTTTTAAATGTATGGGGAAATATTACATCTAGAAATACACCATACAAAAAAAAATGTAATGTCTTTATCAAATACATTTGAAAATGTAAGAAATAGGCAAAATACTATCTAATGCACTTCACTGT